AGATCACATAGTGTAGTTTCAGTATATCTCAATTCATTCTCAAAACAGACTGTGACTTTGTTTTCACTATACTATGTGACCTTCTCCCCTGTGGGGGCTTTTCAGTATGAGAGCAGGAGAAGGCTTACAGAAGTTATCCTCATGTCCTATATTCCATTAATTCCTTAAAAAATTTCAACATTTAAAGCTGTGATCTGTAATATTGTCCGTATGTTTCTTATATCCTGTTGGTGTACACCTCCTATAAACTGGATATCTGTTCTGTCTCATTAATATTCCACAAATAAATATAGGTGAAGTTAACAGACCTACAAATGTCAATGCACAGTGCACAGAAGACCACTGCAAGGCCACAGGCAGGGCTTATGGTGATGTGCACACCATTCTGGCTGCTGAGAAAACTGTGCTGAGCAGTCTCTCCAGGGTGTGGGCCGCAAGTGTGAGAACTTCCGGACGCTGATGCCTACGTACAGGCCTCAGGTGCAATGCAGAGCTGTCTGTGTTTTCAAGATGAGAAAATGAATCTATTTATGGTGAATCCTGCACTAATTTCCTACAGAGTCTAAAACCCAAGTACTGCACCACTTTCTACAGTTCTTTATGTTCATCACAATGTGTCAATTCCCCGCACTGTTTAGGAAAAACAAATGTTTATGCTATTTATTTTTTCCAGAACTGGGGGTTGAACTCAGGCCCTTGTGCTTGCCAGGCAAGCACTTATTCTGCTGAGCCATCTCCCCGGCCCCTGTTTGTGCTATTAATGAAGTTAAACATATTCAGTTTAGATTCTGTTTTCCTTTAGACTGAAAAATTTGGTCTCCAAATACCTGAAAATCAGGAGACATCAATTGGCTAAGCGCTATTTGATATCAATATCCCTGGCTTAGCGCCAAGGAGGCCGAGACTCCCCTTGTGGGATGGAGAGGGAGCCGCTGAAGTTGAGACTCCCACCAGGCCGAGCTCTAGGGCAGCTTTTCGGTCTCTGGTGGCTGATCTCCTGCCGGTCCCCAGGCCAGGCAGCCTGGCTCCCCAGGGTTTTTGTGTTCTTGTCCTCCTGGACTGGGTGGCAGGCATAGAGACACTGTCTCAGGCAAATGAGGGCTACCAGAAACTCGCCTGCCCTCTTTTCGATCGTGTAATACAGGCAGGAGGGAGCCTGGTGCTGAATCAGCCCTCGAGGACTTGTTTCTGGGTCAGCATTCCGAAAGAGCAGAGATCCTACCTGGCCGTGATCTGTTGAATGTCAGCCTCAAACAAAATAATTTAAAAAGATAGATCAAAGCAATCCTGTGGAATGAATGCATGAAATTGTGGGCACGAATACAACTAGTTGTATAACATTATGCAGAGGAAATTGTCTTTCTTTTCATTATAAAATCTGTGACAAAATCATGGCAGACATTGGGGTGGGAAGTGAAGGTATTATTCTAGATAGTTCTTGATGCCTTGCATTAGGTGTATTTAAACATTAGGTATTGTGATAAATTCCTTTTATTTTCAAGAGCATACAATGTAGCTTAAAAACTTACATTCCATAAAGAATTTCACTAAACACTATAATACATATTCAACAATGCTTTTTATATTATGAAATGTTGTCTTTGGATTAGTTGTTTATAGTGCCATACAATATTCATTTACAATTCCTCTTAAACTTTATTTCACTTTTTTATGTATTTAGTACAGGGTCTATAGGGTCTCACTATGTAGATCAGACTTGTAGTGATTCTCCAGTTATAATTCCTCGAGTGCTTCCTGTGTTCCAACTTCTATGTTTCCCATGTACAGTAAAGAAGCACACACCTAGAGAACTACTATAGACAGAAGATTGAGTAGTCCATGAATTGGATGGGGAAACCATGATGGATTTTACAATCTCCAAAATATAAATTCAACAAAAAGCATAAATTAAATATAATGTTGGGCATAATTTACCACAAGTGAAATTGTGATTGAAGGATGGGGCTCTAGAAGATTCAACAATGGTAGTCTTGTTTTACTCTAAACATGGATAGATTGATGGACAAAGACTCGTTAAAATACATTGTTGTTTTTGCCTCACTGTTGTTCTATAAATACAATATACTTACACCCTTGTTTGGCCAACACAGAACTGGCTTTGCTAATGGAAGGTGTCCAGTCCGCCATAAACACACCCAAAAGGAGGGAAAGACACTCCTGTGCTAGTCACCTGTCAAGGGTCTGCTTTGAGCAATAGATGATCTCAGGTGTATTTAAACATTAGGTATTGTGATTCAAAAATTCATCACTATTTTTTACTTTAAAAGTATTTTTTAAAATCTTTTGGAATCAGGGACACACTATGAAACTCAGGCTGGCCTTGAACTCATTTTGTAGCCTAGGATAGTCAGAAACCCTCAACAGTCTTAGTGCCTCAGCCTCTCCAGTGCTGGGAGTACAGCTAAGGGCTAACACACTTGGCTTTAGTAGTCCAGTAACCAATGTCTTTTGTACACATTTGTTACCATGAAGAGGAACTATGCTGATTTTCAATGAACATTAAAAAGTTAGAAAGGTCAAGCAATGTGTCAGGATAGGTGCAAACAATACCATCTGCACCCTGTGATGGGCTAGGGATGGGCCAGTGATGAGCCAGCACTCTCGCCATAACTGCAGCTAGCTCTACAGAGTCACAGTCTAGACTGGCCCCAGGGATTAATCTGGATTTTCCAAAGCACAGATACAAACACTTCAAGAATACCCATTTTTTCCAGTTTTATAAAATGTAAAGCCCAGGAGTTAAAAACCATCCTCAAGTGGTCTGCTGTGTGGGACACCCTGTTTAACTAGATGCAGAGAGTAAGAGAAATGGTCACTTATTGTTGTAGGTCTCAATGTTGAATGAGAATGAAGAGGCAGGAGATGGCAGTAACATGAGGTCTGTAGTTATTACTGGGTGGGGTTGGGTGAGGAGAGCCAAGAGTTCTGTAGAGAACCCAAGACCAGAAGAGTTGGGGAGGGTTGCAAGGAGGGACAGGGAACATGAGACAGGTCTGTCATATAATGCAGTAGATGGAAGGAAGCAGGAGAAATTGGAGGATATAAGGCCTTGAGTAATGATTTGAAAAGATACTATGAGATGGCAGGAGAAACAGAAGGACATAAAGAGGTAGGGAAAGAGCTGAGGGTGGTGGAGGGAACGGAGTCCAGAGTGTGGATGTGTCAGATAGGTGAGGCAAATAGAAAGGAAGGGGCCATGTGCATCCAGTGGAAATAGATACAAGAGATACAAAGGACACAGAGTCAGGTGAACTGAAAATCAAGCATGGTGCGTGGGACATGAAGAGAAAAGCTATCAATAGTTGCAATGACAAGAGGCGGGCCTGGCATCACGAGCAAGCACAAGAGAAAAATGAGTTGAGATAGACCAGAGGAATTGTGGAGTGAAATAAACATAAGGAACGGGAGGCCCAGGTGAGCAGGGGTGTGTGGTTTGTGTAGTGACCGCCACCCATCAGAGGTCCCAATGTCCAAACGCAGTCCTCCTGTTTAACAACCACAGACACAATCATTACAATATTCCCAAGTGTTAGGGAGTATTGATTCAAAGAAGTAAAAAATACATTTCTGAATGAGAGGAAATTCCATAGCTGGGAAGCCTCCAACATGTGGCCTGTGGATTGGTATTATGACCAGGAACATTAATCCGCTGAGCCCTCTGGTGAGCCCTTATAGTTCATTTTTGCATGTCGTCAGTTATATCACAAAAGTGCAGAATATGGACATAACCATTGCGCACAGTGAGACCGATGTCACTGTTCACTCCACTGTGTCCTCCCCTTCGTGTAATATAAGATCACTAACTGGAAGCTTCTACACAGAAAGAAATTTGACAAAGTTTCTCCACTTTGTGACTTCTCTCTGCTTAATGTATTTACTGAAATATTTTTAGAGCAATGACCTTCGTATGCATTCTGTTATGTGTATAACTTCATATGTACTTGTTGAAGACAATAGCATCAAAGCTCTGTCATGCAGGGATGACACTGATATGATTCTTCTCCTCTGTGTGTCCTCACATTTCTACAGGGTGATTAATGGCAGGTCGTTCCACATGTGGCCTCAGTATATTGTCTTTAGTGTGTGTTCTCTCATGGTTCCTAAGGTGAGACGACTGAGTGAAAGCCTTCCCACATAGACGGCATTTATGTGGCTTTTCCCCTGTGTGTGTTCTGTCATGAATTTTGAAGGCGTTAGATTTTATAAAAGCTTTTTGACACACATTACATTTATATGGTTTCTCTCCTGTGTGTGTTCTCTTATGGTAAAGAAGGGCAGACGACTGAATGACGGCTTTTCCACATAGATGGCATTCATATGGTTTTTCTCCCGTGTGTGTTCTCTTATGATTTTTAAGGGAATTAGAATGAATAAAAG